TAATTAAACCACATAAAATTCAATTCAACAGCAATATCACAAAATATTTAAAAACGGCATATCTTTAGAATTTCCATAAACAGTCTCGCGCTCTGGAGATAAAAATGTCTTTTTCCGTAATGCCATTGCTCGCTTTGAAATGGTTGAGTTTGTTAATTAAAAATTCGTTAATGTTTTGAAAATTTTAAATGGCTAATAAAACAAGTTTGAAGTTTGAAACAAGAGCTTCCAAGTGCCCATTTTCTGGTGGAGGACTAGTTTAAGATCGCCACCCATCTCGATTACTTTTGCATTCTTTTTGGGAGAGGGGGGAAATCTAGTGCAAATAAGAGAAAAGAAAAGGGAATAAGAAGTCGATTGTTTTCCTTCGAGAAATGAATCTCATCAAAATTCGAGTTCGAGTCGGAATGAAAAAGTCACATCCATCTGGTTTATCCGCTCGTTTGCTCTATTAACTTTCGTGCTATGTGGACAATGTAGTGTATGATTTCTTTTTGACAGCCTACAAATATTTTAGGGAATTAAATTTCTTTTTAAGGATTTGCACGTGTGGATAAGGACCACTGTAGTACGGATGTCGAAGTTATTATTATTATTATTATTATTATTATTTTATTATTATTATTATTATGAGGGCACAGCCCCGATCCTCCTAGCCAGCACAAGCCGGCAGTATGATCAAAAAATGGGACTGGCCAGGGGGAAAAAAATATATATATATATATATATATATATATATATAAAGTTCAAAATCTGAGTCTCAGTGCCGAATTCCAATTCTGTTTATAATCTTCATTATTTTATCATTAAGATTTGATGCATCTAGATACTGTTGTTTTTTCACAATGACAGAAACATACATACATTTATGCAGGTTCTTTATTATTTAATATCTGTAAATATAATACATGGCGATATAGTTGGTGTCAACAGTTTGAAAAGTGAATGCCATTTGAGACTAACAGCGAGCGGAATGTTAATTCAAACGCTTTATTGTCTTTTTTAATTACGAACTCGCCTTTTTTCAAATTCTCTGCCCCTTTCTAATCCACGTTGTTCGGAAAGATGAATTTCCACCAGGCGTAGGCGGCGCACAAAGCTTGATATTTCCTGGGCTGAACCCGGCATCTACTAGCGTCTTTCCCAGCTATATCTCTCTCTCTCTCTCTTTTTTTTTTTTTTTTTTTCTTTCTTTAAAGACAAAGTAAAGTCTTAGAGTTTAAGATCGCCACCCATCTCGATTACTTTTGCATTCTTTTTGCTGCACACAACGTGCGCTTTTCTTGAACGCTGCCTAGAGTTTGTATACCGGATGCCGTAAACTTGACGTGTGATTTACTGCTTACTGCAAGTTGCTTGTTTCGGGAAGAATGAATAGTTCGAAAGAAAAGGGGGAAGGGGAGAAAATCTAGTGCAAATAAGAGAAAAGAAGAGGGAATAAGAAGTCGATTGTTTTCCTTCGAGAAATAAATCTCATCAAAATTCGAGTTCGAATCGGGATGAAAAAATCGCATCCATCTGGTTTATCCGCTCGTTTGCTCTATTAACTTTCGTGCTATGTGGACAATGTAGTGTATGATTTCTTTTTGACAGCCTACAAATATTTTAGGGAGTTAAATTTCTTTTTAAGGATTTGCACGTGTGAATAAGGACCACTGTAGTACGGATGTCGAAGGTTATTATTATTATTATTATTATAATATTATTATTATTATTATTATGAGGGCACAGCCCCGATCCTCCTAGCCAGCACAAGCCGGCGGTATGATCAAAAAATGGGACTGGCCAGGGAGGGAAAAAAAAAAAAAAAAAATATAAAGTTCAAAATCTGACTCTCAGTGCCGAATTCCAATTCTGTTTATAATCTTCATTATTGTCTCTGCAAAATCTTTCAATTTTGAATAGTTCCTTTTAAATCTTCCTTAAAATTCTTTCTATATTTCTCTCTTGTACTCCGGCTAAGCGTACATTCATCTACGAAGTAAGTACCTGGCTTCCACAAACGTATCACGAATTAAGCATTTATCATTATTCTGTAGATGGAACCTATTAAAATAAGCCGAGAAACGCTCATGATTAGCTCTGATTTATATCGACATTATTTATAATATTCATCTTCTTGTTTAATTTTATATTTTTCATTGAGCCTATTTTTTCCCCCTCTTATTAGACGACTTCCAGCAAAAATTCCATTCTGTATAAATCCAGTTTTCCATTTCAGCAATGGTCTTTTTCTTGAATTTGGATATCAAAATTATCGGTCTCATTCCCAAGTGCCGCCATTTTAGCAAGAGTGTCCGCTCTTTCATATCCGATAATTCTCAGCTTCTCAAAACTACTTTTATTTTCTCTCTCCGGTCTTTAGAAGCAGAAGTATGGTTATTCTTGTTCTACGCTGTGAAGCGAAAGTTTTTACTTAACAACCACGAAGTTGGTGTGTAGAAACTTTCTAAATAAATTTCAAATGAGAATTTTCCGTTTGAAGACGTTTGGTGATGTTCAGAAGATGATTTTGAACCTTTCTGTTGGTTATTAAGTATTATTATCGGAAACAATATTAGTTTTGCAATTTAATTTTCATTTACTTGGCAGCTTTTCCTTTTGTTTGTGTTTGCATTACATTATACCTGTTTTTTGAAAAACTTGATTTTTTTTTTCAACTTCTTTGCTACAAAATAAATAAATAACAAACTAAACTATTATTTTTTATGTTTAAAGGGGGGGAATTAGTAATTTGACAGCCTATTTTAAAATAATTTTCGTCTTGCAAATTGCAGTTCTGTATTTATGTTTCGCCTCATTTGGTATATTTTTTTCCTAGAGGAGTGCGTCGACGTTAAAAATAAAGAGAAATCGTTAAGTATTATTTTTCAAGTTAATGCGTTGTTGTTTATTCGTGTGAAAAGTTTTTTACATCCTGTGTAAAAAAAGTAGTTACTTCTTCTTTCGGTTATATAACTTGGAGTTGACAATGGTAACCCACCTCCTCAAACAAAGGGGAGGCAGAAAAACTAAATGCTTAGTTTGTTTATAAAGAAAAAATTTAAAACTTATGTATCGTAACATCGTATTTCCCACCAGCGGCTGAGTAGTAAAGTCGCTGAACGCTGGTAGTTCGGTACAGGGTTCGAATCCTCACGATCGGGCTGGATGTATAGGCGTTCGTGGTTTTCCAAATGTGTTACATGTGTATGAGCCAGTTTCCCTTAGAAATTCCCCCACGAAGGCGTCTGTCCTCTTGGACAGATAGCCCTCGAGTGCTTTGCTATAATTAAGTAAACCAAATCAAAAATCGCATGGGATCATGTATAATTTTAGAGCGGTTTCACTATTCATGTTTACAAGCCTTCTGCTCGGTCAGCCGCCTGATGTATTTATTATAAAAAGGAAAAAAATATATATATGTAATAATTTTAATGAATCCACTTAATTCATTTCACGGATCCAACAGGTAATTAATAATAATAGTGAAGATCCGCGTTTATTGGCTAGTTTTTTAATGAGTAACACGCAGATTAAATTTGAAAGAAAAATTAAATATTTTACGCTTCACCAAATGGCAACAAACAGGCCCGTAGAAGTTAAAATTGTTTTGTATCGAACAGAGGCTGCACATTTACATTGAATTTAAAAAACAAATATCTTATGATCTGTCGAGTGACAGTGCATTTCTTTTGAATCGCTGAGTTTTCTGATTAACTTGAAATATAAATATCTTAAAGCTTTGCATAGTAACTACACGTCGCTTATAAATTATGTAAATTTATAAAAAATTATGTAATGCTTTTAATAAGTCGAGCTACTTTAATTTCGCGAGTCCTTCTAGTAATTAATAATAGAAATCAAGATCTGCTTTTAAATTGCTTAAATGGTTAGTTAATAATAGGTTAAATTTGAAAGAAAAGGTAAATATTACGCTTTGTCGAATGGCGATACTCTGCCACGTGGAAGATAAAAATATTTTATTTCGGGCAGTTGCAATGCATTTCTCTTAAATGGCGAAGTTTATTGGTTAAATTGGAAAGACAAATATCTTATGCTATTCCGAGTGGCGGTACATTTCTTTTAAATAGCTGAAAGATTTTATTAACTTTGAAACATAAATAATTTCCAATTTGCCGAATGGCAACACGTTGCTTTTAAATCTCTGAATTTTTAATAAGTTTCATTAAATTCGTGCAAAATATGAAATAAAGGAAAAGTAAATTCAGAATCCGGACTTTAAGATGCATATGTTCGGATAGAGGACATTAAGTGTTCAAAATTTTGTGTCTCAAGATACTGCTGCTTTTTTTTTTTTTTTTTTTTTTTTTTTTTTTTTTTTTTTTTTTTTTTTCCAATGCGATCATCATTTAGCTTCTTCATCATTTAATAATATAAATAATATTTTCAGAATTAAAAATCAAATTTCTGTCGTTCTTAGAATAGGTATAATAAAAGCATTAACTGGGAAAAGAGCGAAAAAAAAGAGTGTTCACATGTTGAAGATCTGATTTTGCTGACGATATCTGGATTTAAAATTCTAGTTTTTTTCTTCTGTATCGACTGTAATGAAACGCCTTCAAACAGCCGCTCTATCTACGCGATTTTAGTTTTTTTTCTCTCTCTCCCCGCAGCTTAAATGCAGGCACTCTTTCATTCATCAGAAATCTTGATTAATATGTTCCATGAATTAATGTAGTACTTGAAAATCGTTTCATAAGGGAGATTAATTTTCTTGTAGAAAATAATATTGAAGCCCTTTGTTTCGATTACGAAATACATATTTAATCCTAAGGATTTAAGCTGAATAATTTCACTGGTTAAACGCCAAGGACATTTTAACTGGGATATAGAAAATATCTAAAATTAACAGTTGTTGGGCGATAAGTAACCAAATATTGTAACCCGCATCGTAAAGTAAGTGAAAGAGGGACGCGCGCTGCCCAATCCGTCGTGCGCGAGAGAGAAGCTGCGCGCGCATTCTGTTTGAGTGTAGGCCACGAGGAAGTTTGTTTCTCTCATAGTAGCGGTGGAACTTCACCGGTCGTGATGGTTCGAAGAGCGTTGCAGCCTTCGCAAAGTGTAAGCGAAACAGCGTGCTGAAAATTCTCTGTATTGGAACGGACCGTTATCATTGATGATGGAAATGATTCTTCTGAAGTTTGGTTCAAAGACTGTTGTTATTTATATTGCCGCTTCTAATATTATTGGGTAGAAGAACTCTAGAAACAGTGAAGAACGGGATAACCAGCATGACATAGTATTTTAGTTAGCCTGATATGGGGCCACATCCCGAAGTGCCTGTCGACGTCCAGAAGTACATCGGATCATGCCTCATCGCACAGCAGCCCAGATCTAAAAGAAAACCCTGTCCTAGAGGACAGCATCAAGCAAAAGATGGAGGTGGAAACGTTCGCTGCTGTGGATACACTGTACCACAATGCAGTCGTTGCTGTAGCTCGGCCATTCAGTGTCCAGGCTACAATGGCATCAATAACTACGCGTGGACAGGTGTGCCTTTAATAAGTGTCGCTCGTCAGAGCAAGAACCTTCTCCATCATCCTGGAAAAAGCCGAGTGCAAAATAGAAATTGCAGTGGCAAAACGCAGGATTATTCTGTTCCACGCGTGGATTCGCCTGTCGATTCTAATAACTTGGAGGAAATTTTACCAATTTCTAGACTTGCTATTCACGCTCAAGGTGCGCCTCTGATATTGTCACCCAAAGACGGCGAGAAATGTAGCAAAGACGGCGATGGCTTTCCTACTACTGCACCATTTAAAGGTCGCGATTTCTATTTAAGTGAAGGAGGAGGCAACAACAGGTTGTATATGCTTGTGTCTGGTTGCCCCGAAGAGGGACAGACTCGATCGCTGAGTGTTGAAAGGATGGGGTGTTTTACGGAAGACGAATCTGATCTTGTAATGGCTAATTCGTCACGAAGAATATCTTCATCACCGTCCCAGAGTGACTGCATTAGTACAACTTCAGAAGACTCGGGGACCTCCGAAAACGGACTCCCCAGGATTATTAAACCAAGGAAGAGGCGCAAAAAAGATAGACGTGCGAGCGAAAGCGATGGCTGCAACGCTAGAAGTAGAGCACTAGAAGATGTCACTGGTACCATCGTGACTTTAAAACCATATCTGCCGTTATGTTATCGATATAATAGAAATGGAATCAATATGTTTCCATCGCCTCCTAGATCCCCAGTAACAGTGTCTGACTACCAACCCTGTGATACCATAATAATTAATGACAAGAGATGGAGAACCGGTACGTATCCTTACCCTCCATCGACTCGCTGTGCATGTGCCTATTGTATGCCGCCACCTTCAACCTTTTTGACTCCGCCGGACTCACCGGTGGATGTCTCCGAAAATGGTTTGGCCATGGCTATCATCAGGCGAAATGGAGGAGAACGTGGATCACTGGATAATAATCGGATCATCGGGAGAGCGATGAGATGTCTATCCATGGGCAGCTCGGATGATGATTCTAACATAGGATTTGAAGATAGTGTCATTAGGGGACAAAACACTCTTGTTCGTAAGTACAAGTTATATACAATCATTAATGTCTATTATACCTTCTTTGCAGTCTGTACTGAATTCCAGTTTATTTATTTGCTCTTTTATGCGTGCTAATGGTTTTAATACCAGGCGCCGGCAAATTTAAGATGACGTTTCGGGTCTGTTATTTTCATTTTAGAACAGTCTTTCTCGGTGAAAATTAAGATAAATTTTATTGAGAAAATAAAAACTTTGGACGCAAAAATTATAATTAATATTCTAATTATTGTAAAAAGAAGCATAACTGAATGATCTTTATTTTGCTCAACGATAACAATAGCTTTCCTGATACTGAACTTGTGACATTAGTTTAGGCAAGTTTGGCTTATAGTTAGTTAGTCGTCTTAAGACGAATACAAACATCTGAATTTTCAGTAGTTAATATGTTCCTGTTCAAATTTAAAATAAATTCTACATTGTGAAAATATTTGATCGCATTTTTAAGTTGAACCAAAGCCAACTTTGTAATCAAACAAAAATATTATGGTTATTATTATTTTCAATGTTTTATGTGTTCTTCATATTCATTTCATATATATATATATATTTTAATGTATTGTACTTTAGTTTTGGAATTCAAGTGGGTCACTTGGTGACCCCGCGTGTCCATGAATTGATATATATTATCTGGTGGCCTAAGATAAACCGAACCCAAACAAGTGAAATCTTCCATATCCGGTTCCGTTTATCTTGGTCCACCCGCAAGAATTCAATTATGAAGCATTTTCCAGTTGTCTAAATAGAAACCTAATAATTTTATCCTCTCTCGAGAACCCGTATAAAAATAAACGGCAGAAGTTATACGAGAAGAGAAAGGTGGGTGGAGTAATAAGTTATTTAAATACTTCCTATTTCTTTTAGTTGTACCAAACTACCGAATTTACTTTTTCGCTCCATTGCATCTAAGATTCATTAGAAAAAGAAGATATAGGAAACTTGTTTCATGATTCAGTAGTTGTATTTCCTAGCGAATCATTTCATGAGTCGCTAGTTCTGTTAAAAATTGTTAAATAAATATATATAAAGATATATCGAGAGATATTAAACGTGAGAACATATACTGCGTTAGATATTTACAGTCTGTTATTAAAATAATTTATTTCATATCCTATATAAAAATTATTTTTATGAGTTAATACAATGTTTTCTTAAACTGCGGTCGGAATAAATGATCATATGAAAGAGTTTAAATTACTTTACTAGAACAAACAAACAAAAAAATATTAAAAGGGTACGTATTCACTTTCCATCCGTTTTGTAAATTTGTTCTGGGAAAAAGTTATCTTGAATTTATTTTTACTGAGTAATTAGCTCAAAACCGAATGCTCAGGGAGTTGATTAGAATTCCATATGCTGCTGAACCCTTATATTAGTTTTCAACTCCAACCTATGCGTTTTCTTTTAATTTCCTAAAATATTAATTTTTTTAATTTAGAAAATGAATTCAAAATTTATGAAAATTTTTGTATATTGCTCTAACACTGTACGAAACACTTGGCTGAGTAATTTATTGTCAAAGTAATATAATGTCTTAGAAAGGCATTATTTCGCATTTAATTTCTAATCTGTATTTTTCAGTTAATTTGTAGTTCTTTTTTTGTGTGTTTTGCGATATTTCAACATGTTATGTTTAAAAAAAAATTCTAATGATCTAACGAGCATTTGAGATCTAATTTAATTTGAAATAACATATTAATTACGAAATTAGTTAGCGAAAAGTGGGGGGGGAAGCATTTCATCCTTTAATGTTCTCGGAAATAAGAGACTGATGTAGCGTTAAGGCTATTAGAAGTGCAAAAAAAAGTAAACTGCATTTAGAGTTTCTTGTTAAACAGCCTTTTCAAATGCGTATAGCAGCTCATAAAAATTATTATACCATATTTTCTAATTACGATCTCAGCATGAAATGTGCAAAAATATAATGTATATACAACATTTTAGAAAGGAGAGTTTTTTTTTTTTTTTTTTTTTTTTTTTTCTTTCCCATCTCTCCGTATCTTAGCTGTTGTTTCGAATTCTTGTTTGTAATTCATAGCTACTTTAAGCTGCTGGTATATTATTCTGTATGAATATCTTGACATTAAAGACCTCTTGAGAGTTTTTAAGTTCTTGAATATGATGCATATTTTTGGATGACGCAGGTGGTGGTAATTTGTATTCAGTTGCCATATTTCCGTCATTATATCTTTCCAGGCTGTCACCTGTGGGGGGGGGCGATGCTGGCAGGGAGCCACAGCTTGAAAAAAAGTTTTTTTTTTTTTTTTTTTTTTTTTTTTTTTTTTTTTTTAAATCTTCTCCGAAAATATTCACCAAGCTCATGTTTAAATCTTTTTTTTTGGGGGGGGGAGCAACTGAAAAGTAACTAAGTAAATTGTATTTCCCGAGAATTATGTTTCGATTTCTGCACCAAACTGGTACGATGATATGTTTGGAATTCGCTTAGAAGTTGTTTTGAAACCAAATTAGCTCTGTCGCTTACTCAAAAAAAAAAAAAAAAAGAAAAAAAAAAAAAAAATTAAGGAGCAGTACCATTCATTTTAAGTATGTGCACAGATATAATGTGCATAATTTTACATGTTTTTTGTTTCGAAGCCGCAAAAAAGTTTAATGACTTTAGAATTAATTTTAAAAAAATTTATTGTTTTTTGGTAGTAGATAGTTTTTGAGAGTTAATATTACTTTAAAAGAATTTTATGTTTCGTTTAGTTCTTCATATTATTTTTTATTTAAATTACAGTCCATCTTCAACAAATCTTTCTGATGTTTCAAAATTTCTATAGTTTAATTTTACAAAGTTCAGTAATTTAATAAATCCAAAATAAATTTTAATCCTTAAAAGGAATGAAAAAAAAGCAAAGCCGAGAAAACGAATTTTAAATTACTGTAGGCAGAAGTACAAAACATTTCTCATATCTTTTATAATAATGACATCGAAATGAACGTTCTACAGCGGTTTACATCTTCATCAGTTTACATCCCAAATTAGTAAACAATGTAACGAGTATTAAAGAAAAAAATGGCAACGCTAAATGCTCTGTAAACGTAAACAGAGATCAGCTGAGTGCGTCAACGGAGGCCCACACGTTTTTCTTTTTGCCTTTTCTAATACGAGATGATTAGTGTAAATAATTCTTTATTAAATTTAAAGGACCCCCGCCTATAAATGTGACTAAAAAAAGGGGTGCATCTCGGTTAGGCAGACTTTTTTCGAACTGTTTATTAATCCGATGATATGCGCTGGCGTTTGATAGGCATAATCAGTATGCAGTTTATTGAAAAAATTATTAAAATTAATTTTTTAATAAATTGATTATTGATATAAAAAGCTGTATCCTGTAGTAAAAGAAAAAATCAAGAGGAAGGTGCACTAAAATTATATAGTGCACTTTAGAAATCAGTAACATTTTTTTTAAGTGTGAAAATCATTTTTTAAGCAATAAGGTCAAGTTAAAAACCTCAGAACACAAAACTCAATAAAAAATACAAAGAATGCAAAACTAAAAGATAATTTCAGGAAATTTTTTTAAGTCAAAAGGGGCAATTTATTCTGAAGACTATTAATTTCGTATTGTCATTTTGTGTTGAAAACTATAAACGGTGAATCACTTTTCAAATGGTTGCCACCCAACACCCAATATTATCGCCCTGTATTATATTTAAAGAAATTAATAATGAAGAATCTGCATGAATGTATGTATGTTTCTCGCATTGTGATAAAACGACGGTACCTAGAGCCATCAATATTTGAATAACGTAGTCTTCCATAGAATATGGGCATGTGGAAGCCCTAATTTGGAATTTGAAATTTGTTTTACTATCGATTTTATATTTTGTAACTAACACTTCAACGAATTTTTGATTAACAAACTAAACGATTAAAAACACAATAACACACCGAACAAATACTAATTCAGAAGTCAAACAACAAAAATCAGCTGATTATATTACGCTGATTGACTTCTGAATTAGTAAACTAAATGATTTCAAAGCGAGCAATGGTTACACTGCACGGGGGGGGGGGAGATTTCCCGCATGCGAGACTCTGTATCGGAAATTCTAAAGATATGCTCAATTTAAAATCACTTTGCGATATTGCTCTTGAACTGAATTTTATGGTTTGAGTACGTAGAACGTGATATTTATTAAATAAAGGTAGTACACTAACCGTTAAAAAAGGCCCATTTGGACGTAATTTAAAATCTGAAACATTTCAGATTTTTTTGTTCACGTGTTTATTAATCTTTGTTGTTTATTTTCAAGTTATTTACGTGCAGTTATTTGTATTATAATTGTATTGCATACTGTATATTAAGGGAAAAAATGCACGCGGGTCGTGTAAAAGACCATTTCTTTAAAAGGGGTTGATGTAAGAAAAAAGTTGGGAATTCCTGATTTAGATACTTTGTAAAGACATCGTGTTTCCAATGTTTCTGGCGTTATTACCAGTAATTTGAAGAGTCAAGTGCCTGTTAGAATGGTTTATTTAATTACGGTAAAACACTGGAGGGCTATCTGCCTAAGGAGAGGGATGTGTTCGTGGAGAACTTTCTAGTGATGCCTATGAGAAGCCTGATTATCCTTCTTTGCGTGACAAAACTAAACAGTAAGTGGACTATATATATAGCATTTACTTCACACTATCTTCTAAAACTCGTAGTGGCAGGTTAAAAATCGGAACATTGAGATCAAGATCGCGTTAATTTGTAACCCATTTGATGTTTTCGTTTCCAATCGAATAATCCTCAAAAGTTGCCCAACCCGTAATGTGAATGAGTTTCTAGAGCAAATCTAAGGCGACAATTTATTCACCTAAAACGAATATTTATTTAGATATACATCCGTACGCCAGTCGTTTGTAATATATTTTGTACTTAACGCTCCAGATATTTTGCGCTAAGAGCTTTAATTCCCCCCCCCAAAAAAAAAACATCTATATCATAATTCGTACTTAACTGATTTTCGGTTCATTTATGTGAG